CAATCGCAATTTTTACGGTCATTCTTGCAAGCACTCCGGAAACGTTCATTTCCATCGCAGCACCGAGACTTCGAGTTTAAGGCACGAGGAACCAAAGGATTCGCGCAGGGGTTCTTCGGGGACGATTGTTAACGCACACTCTAGACGGAACGACCGGAGTTCAATTCGGGTGGAGGAAGAATCGACGTTACCGTCGAGCGTCAGGAATCTGGCACACTTACGGAAGGAGGTCGTCGCAAAAAAGGCCGATGAAATGGACGACTTTGGACGAAACTCCCAGAACCGTATCGTCGATCACGGGATGTCAAATGTGATTTCTTCGTCCCGTGACGGGAACCGCGGAAAGGACGAACTATCGAAGTCTCTTCACGAGCGGCAAAATTCAGAGATTGGCCAAAATTCAGAAGAGCCCGTAGACCTCGGGAACATCCTTCGCAGATATTCTCTGGCTAGCTTATTACGGCCCGCGGTATACAATGGCGACTTGCCAGAGGTATCCTTGCCAGAGGATCGCACTCCTCGAGAGATCCGCCTGCCCGATACGGACGATCGGATAGTGATCGTGCCGATTATCTATACCGAGGATTCTGGAGACCGGAAGCAGTCGTCCGACCGCAAGAAAAAATTCCGCGGCAATCGTCGAGCAACGTCTTCGGGGATGCAAAGTCTCGCCGGGTCGAGGAGTCCTAGCGACACCTTGTCGGAATCGAGCGATTCCTGCCGGGCGAGTCGTTCGGAATCCTTTGAAACGGACTTTAGCCACGTAACGGACGAGTGCGGTTTCCTCGGCGCCGTTCGCTTGAGGCCGGAAAGCCGAATGTCCTCCTCGTCCGGTCGCAGCGACGCGTCCTTGCGCCGGAAGGACTTAACGGCAAACGGTTTCAAGACCAAAGGCATCGAGAGGACGTTTTCCGGGGTCGTAGCCGTGACCGCGAATGGCCCCCTGCGGTCCGTCGACGGTGGCAAAGGACTCGGAAGGAGATTTCGGGAATTGGATAACTCCATGGAGGACTTTCTTTGAGGGGACAAAGGAAGTCCGAAGACGAATTCAGCGCTGAAGCGTCGTATACCGTCTCTGTAAAATAGCCCTTGTTATACCTGTGAATCAAAACGTATTGAAACGATGTCAGAAACGCTTCGGTTGAGTCTATCGCGCAGGACGAAAGTAAATAGCATTCGGACGGGATTACTCTTTTAAAAATACCACAGAGCCGGCGCAACTTCCGAACGTATCGAACGGGTTGGAAGTGACACTCTTTCACCGCTCGTCGCGCGCGGAGGGAGAGAGGGAAGAGAGTGACGTTCGAGAGATTTTTCATTTTATTTCAATTGAAAGAAAGTCGGGACCAGATTCGGGCCGAGCGCGCTTTGGAAACTCAATCATCGCGTTAAAGAATCCCGCGATCGGCCGAGTTTTCCCTGGAGTCGTGGATTTGGTCGTGAATTTTCTTCTCTCGAGGCGCTTAAACTAAAAAAAAATTCATTGAACCAAAGAATTGTTTCGTTGATTCAAGGGATATTTTGCAATAATCTCCAAAATTTTCTCTGATTCAATGAAACGTTTTTCTCGGTGTATCGTCTCCCCGATGTCACGAGATGCTTCTACGATCGTTCCGATAACCGACGCCGTAATCGAGCCCACGTGGAATGAGTTTGCGAGTTTGATTTGGGTAAATGTCCGGCGCAAAAGTGCAGCGAGTCCGGTGTATCTGCGAGCTGCAGAACGGACCCAGATGGAAGATAACTGCCGCGAGCTGGGAGTATAAATTATGCCACACGCGTCAGCGCGTATCATCGCACGTGGTACGCGTCGTTAATTTTATTTTTCTCCCACGCGTGACCGCGAATTCATTAGTTTTTTTTAGCATCGCGCGACATTGTAGAGCACCTTCGTCCCAGCCGTTTGATCGTGCATCGTAAGAAGTGCGCGTGCACTTTCCGTAATTGGCCCATTTGCATAGTCGATCGGCATCGAGTCCGATACCTGTTAATCACCGTGATTTCACTAATTTCGCAATTACATCCCGACGTCACGACATTTGTTTTTCTACCTGTACAAGGTAATACCACGGCATTTGTTCCCCTTGGAGCGTTTACGATAACTCTCGGTAAACTCCACGCAAGGGTGGAGTATTACCGTTGTTCGATGTACACCGATGTACCTAAGATAAACCGACCCACTAACTTGGGATATCCAGCCGCAAACATTGGAATGCAATATTCACTTGCCTGAGTAAACCGCAACCGACCCCGGTGCAATGGAAATCGGCTTTGGCGGAGAGCTTGAGGCCATAAATCGCAATAAATCCCAATAAATCGATGATTAAGGCCGTGGACGCGATGCCTTCATTTTCCGAAATTAGTCTTCATCGTTTTCGAATCTACGAGATTTTTTCTCACGGCGTTTTTTGGGGCGATTCGTTTGCTCCGATCGCTATCGATCGACGACGAGAGCTCGAGGGGTCGAGGCGAATTTCCTCGAAGAAACTTAGTCTGACCGTTTTAATGGAAATCTGCGGTTTATTAAGATCTCGCGGATGCACTCGGAGGTTCCGTAGGTTCCGGCTACTTCGGCCAGGGTGCCAGCCGAGGCGTCAGGGCGAAATTAATGGAGCCGGGACGAGACCCATCCGTTGTAAATTGCCCGATAAATTTCGTAAGTCGGTTCCTTACGGTCGGGCGTTCCGGAAGTTGTCGCTTGGCACGTAATCCGAGGCACCTGCGCAAAGGAGACATTAACGAGAAAAAATCCGTTCTCGAGGAGAGTAACTTCGGAAGTTCGAATCGACCGCGAGGCGGGGCGGGGCGGGGCGAGATAATTCACGGCTAATGCGTTTTCGAGACGAGTTTAGCAACATCCGAAGACACAGTTTCTAGTATAAGTCGCGCGTCGGCATAAATCGCCCAGTGCTTCGTCGCGGTTGCAAATGCATCCTTTCGTCCCCGCGCCTATAGGATCCGGCACGCGGGCCATGACAGAGAATTAATAATAGCGGTTGTAACCGCGACAAGGAGAAATGGTTTCGTCGTTCCTGCGCGGCGGATGACAGCGGTAGACTGGATTTTACAGAGCGACGAATTCCTTCGAAAAGAGATCTCGTAGTGGCGCTACCGGCAAATCTAAGTGCGGCTCGAGTTTCTCGAATGCTTGTTGATACAAATACCGCGAGAAATCGCGGCGAGGTCGACGCGATTCGTACGTCTCCGAGGAATGCAACGGGAGTAAACGAGGGAGGAAGAGTGTCGAAGTACGCGAGTATAAATGGGAGTTGACCCTAAAATAAACTACTCTGGGCGCACTCCAGAACTCGCGCGATGAATACGCCGATTTACTCCGCGATGGAGCTCTTAACAAAGTCTGACGACGACGCAACGGAATCGACTCCGACACCAAGGCGGAAACTATTTCAACTCGAGTAAATATTAACTTAACGAGGACCGTTTCGGTAACGGGGAGTCCGGCAATTTTGGACCAGTGGTCGATTCGGTTTTCGACGGAGTGGGGGAATTTTTGCAACGCGGGCCGGGTTGAATTCGTCGCCTGGAATATTTGGGAGGGTTAGGGGCAAATAATTGCGGAACGGCCGCGTCCGCTGGACGCAATCGATGCGCTGCATCGAGTTAACGTCGGTGCCGTTCTGCCTCCACTCGACAGCCGCGGGGATATTTTGTAATTCAATTCTAGCTTGACACAGTGGAATCTAAACTTATGAGAGCTAAATGATGACGCCAGCGCAGTTGGCTATGTTCCACGTCGTTCCCCCAAATACAACGAGCTGCACATGATAATTAGGTGCGGCGTTCGGCGCTTTTTATACCCATCTCATAAAATCTCCGGCATTTCTGCAATGGTCGCGCCCAGAAATGCCGACGATCGGCACGTTTCGTCCATGTCGCCGTCAACCATGGTGACACATTGCTCCGTTTATTACGAATTACCGTCGGTAACGCTTATCGTCGAGGGAACCGACGCAGTCCGCAGCGTCGACGTTGGACGTCCATTTTATCAGCCAGGGACCCGGTATTTTGGTAACGTCCTGCTCGTCGATAGGATAAACTGCGAAAAAGCTGGACGGAAGCAAAGCGCGGTCGGAAGTCGTTTGCACCTCTGAAAGCTTTCGACCCCGTCCCATGAGCGATTCGCCAATTAGACGGAATTCGGTGACTCGGCGATCTCGGTGGGATTAATCGCCAGGGTGGCCGGAAATAATTAATTAGAACCGAGGTGTCGAAATTTGGCAGAACCTGCCGAAAGGCGGAAACATAGGGTCTCTTTGATTCGAGAGATGCCAAGAACGTTGGTTCGCTTAACCATTGAAGACCTCGTTAAGGATCGAAAATAAATCCAGAGGAATGGGTTCCAATTTGCGCCACTCGGGTGTCGACGTCTCGACGGCTTTTAAGAACGTTAACGCCACCTCAAATGACACGAAATTAAGTGAAACGAGGCGCAACCGGCGACGCGTCGAGCGGGTTATCGATACGATAATATCGCTTCCGGGCGGAAATTTCCCTTCCGCGACGTTTCCAGTGCGCGACTTTATGGACGCGCGAGTGCCAAGAGACGTCGCCGGCCGACGAAGTCTGCTTGAAGTCGGTCCCGACGTTTTCGAAATTGGATTCGCATTTCGGCCCGTGGTTCTTTCGCGGAGGGTACGATCTTTGCAATTTCTGCCACCAGACGAGACGTTTTCTCATAAGCCCGAGGAAACTCGTCGGTGCCTCTGAATTTTCGAAATATTTCAGAACGCCTCGTGGTTTCGGCCTCGCATTTCCGCCGTCGAATTTTCCCGCTTATTCCGCCGGCGATACGGAGATGGGACAGGTTGGTCGCGGAATTAACGGCGGATACCGATCCGCCGGTAGATCGAATTTGAGATATCAGTCGGCACGGTACGGCCAGGAGCGGGACGATATCGACGCGACCGGCTCCATTGGCCGCAGCGTCGGCGTTACGAGCCCCTAAATCACGATATAAATATAAAATGCCGATAACTTACGGTCCCGGGCCGGCCCTGAATCGGTCGGCACATTGTGAATTCGCGCTGGCGCGAGGAAAGCCCCGAAAGCGAATCCCACGTCGAATCGGAGGGCGAACCTCTAGGGTCCCATCCCGACCCGATGGAGACCGAGCTCGATGCAGCCTGCACTTTGGCCCTTCGGTGCACCGGGCATTTCCGCGCTGGGTCGCTATATTTATCGCGTACTCCATCGGTTCCATAGAAATGGTTGCACCAGACTCGGAGAAGGATTATCCGGCCTTGCGGAACTCGAATTTGATTCGGACGTTGCATGCGCACGGAGTACAGCTGCGAGATCCTGAAAAAGCGGGAGAGAGAGAAAAAGTGAGATCTCAAGGAAATCGATGGGCCGTGTTCCCCGGCTGTCGTGCTTAGCCGCCGTTTACGTCGTCAGCGGAGTCAAAGTACACTTCTGCCGTTACCGTAACGTCCAAAGCAAGCGGAACTCCTTTTGTTACCTCGCGAAGATACTTTTTACTTAGCGCGAGTTCAACCGTGACGGAAAACTAATTTACCCCGGTAACGGTAACGCCGCTGCAAAACTGGCCGCCAGGGTGAAGCGTTTTTCCCCGGGAAAATGAATTCACGTTTAAAGGTACGCATTCCCCCCGCGAATGACGACTCGAGGCATCGAGTTATTTTTTTCCATCGAGTGGAGTTCGAGTTGGCTCGAAAAATCACGCCGCGGCGTTCGACGAGTTTCCTATAATTACGGAGTTAAAGCCGATCCTCGGGAAGTTCGGGGCGAGATTCGTCCGGTTGGAGGAAACTTTCCCCCGGGAGCGCACCAAAGGCGGAGATATAGCGGATCTAAAACAAGCGCTCTCTTTCTATAGAGGCTCTTAATAAGTGGCGCGCCCCTCCGATAAAAGTTTCAGCCTTCGGCAAGAGGCGGGCAACCGGTCCGGGAGCGATCGGCCGTCACCTTCTCCCGGACCTGCCCCAACCCGGTAGCGGTTCTGCCACCTCGGTCGACGCCGACCCGGGCCACGGGCCCTGATTCCCTCGGGGCGAACCGACCTCGATCGATGCGGCTCCACCCGATCCGGGCAAAAATCTCAAGGTGTCGCGAAAGGGTCGTTCCATTCCTCCCAAAACGTCAAATTATTTATAAAACCATTTATAAAGCCCCAAGGAAGATCGAATTTTAAATATACGAAACGACCCTCTCCTGTCGCCTTAACGCGGGGAAATCGACCTCGCTGTCGTAAAATGCACCCCCCGGGCGTCACCCACTCCGGTTCCGGCACTTTTCCAAAACCGAGGGACCGGGCTCGGGAGGTTACCTCCCCGTAAAATCGTTAATTGGACGCGCGTTCGCTCGAAACGCGGAAACGCGTCCGGGTTCGGACTCTGGCGAACGATCCGCCCGGAAAGAAAAGCCGGTAATTGCGGTACACCCTCTATAGAGGCGGCTATAGACGCATGCACGGGCAAAAGTGCGCGGCGCCGCTCGGGGGTTTCCGGGTAATCCCGGCGGGCTTCGGGTCGGTGCGCGGCTCGACTCGCGCGCGCGGCCACGCCGCGGCCGCGTTCATTCAGTAGGGTCTAACCTCAAACCGGCGCCACTGCTCCGAGCGTCGAGGGGGCCTCGCGCCGCGGTGCGCCGCCGTCGAGAGCTACGCGCGTTTCGCGCGTTTCGCGCGCCGGGCGTGCCAGTGCGCGGTCCAGCGGGGCAGCGCGCGAGCGCGCGCGCGCGCCCCTAGTGCAGCGCGAGTGCGCCGAGTGCGGTCTTCGCGGAGCTTCTCGTCGCTCGCGAAGTCTCGACGTAAGAGGAATCCGTCCGACGCGGTTTTTTTATTCGCGAGTCCCTCGCCCTCCGATTCGACCCCCGGCGGTTTCGCTCCAAAGTCGGGCCGAGGGCGAGGGTGACTCGTCCTCGGACCCTGACCCACGTCACTCCGACTTTCCGGGCTCTTTCTCCCCTACCCTCCCGTCCCGTCAGGCCGCGCGTTCGACCAATTCGCTAATTTTAGTTCGTCACCGGCGTTCCCAGAGGTAGGGCGCTCCAGGGCTCCTATTCTCTAAGTCACCTGCATTTTTTTCTCATACGGGTTCGCGGAAAAAATTTGGCATTCTCGCGAAGTCGCGTCGTTGGTCGACGTTTGAAAATCGTGGACGAAACGGCCAACTTCGCACGCAAGAGCTGATCGTACGAGCTCGAAAATCGAGTCCCAGAGGTTCGGAGCGCGGTCTCTCGTTACAAACCCGGTCCGGGCCATTTGCCGTCGTTTCGACGCGGGTCGGGGGTAAATTTAGCGCCTCCCGCTGAAAGCGACGACGCGGGGAGAGGAATAATTCCGAGCGATATCGATGACGACTCCGCGAATCTCGTCCCGTGGGGGGACGAATTCTCCCAGGGGCTCCAGACCGAAGAGTAGAGCGTCCCGACGTATATTTCGAGCTCGTAACTCAACTCCTCTAAATCCTCCTCCGTTCGATCCTATCGCCGTGTGCATCCTCGCCATTATCTTTCCGTTTCTCGCAATTACCGCGGAGGTACGAGCGGCGCGTGACGCGCGACCGGCGGAACGTTCGCGATCGTCGTGGCTCGATACCCGGGAAGGCCGAGGAGCGTTTAACCCGTCGTCGACTCGTCAGAACTTTCCTTTGTCTCTGGCGTGACTTCTTTTTCCATTTCGCGATCTCCGGTAACGAGATTGCGTGGAAACCGCGAGGACGTACGTGCTCGCCCGTAGGTATCAATTCCGATTCGTCGCAATTACTTCACGGAGCGTCGCCGGTTTACCTGGAAAAAAAAATCAATCGTCCTTCGTCCTTCGATGGATCGACTCCGACCCTTCTCGCTTCCTCGCCTAGAGGTTCTTCACCTAACTTCGTAACGCGGTACGTGATCGACGGGAAAAAATCGAGAACGATTCTTGACGCCCTGGCGCGCCGACCTCCACCCTTTCTCGGCGCACCTGGAACCCTTGCGTCGATTTTTCGCGGAAATCCTCGAAAATTCCGCATTCTGCTACCGTCGGGCGACGTCGGGAGAGGTTTGCACGCGCGGGCTAATTTAATTCCGTGAAAATTGCGGAGTCGCGAGGGTCTCCCGAGGCGCCGAACGAACGTCGAAACGAATTCGAGGCTCGGTCGAGGAACGTCGATTCCATCCTCGCGAGAAAGCCCCCCTAGTTTTTGACACCGTGGTCCGCACCTTTCGCGGTCCTAATCAAACGCGCTCTCGCATTCCCAGCTCGTAGGGAATGCGGAGCGCGTGCAAATTTTGCTTAATAAACGGGACGGTCGAAGTACGCGCGCCACGCGCTCGCCCGGCCACCGGCAGTGCCATTTCGGGCTCGACTTTGGAGCGAGTCAAAAGTTACTGCCCACCCCGCTGCGAAGTTCCGCAAGGAATGCCTCCGGGTACTCCGTGTCAACGCTAATGAAATTTCCCTTCGTTCCGCCCGGCTATTCGGGAACGGCGTAAAAAGCCGTCCGACCTGCCCGGAAGTCGACTCCGAAACGACGCGGCGGCGGTAATTCGCCCTTTACTCGCGTCACCGTTTTCCCGATTCCTGGAGTCCGAGGGTATTTCTCCGCACGAATTAAGAATTATACGGCGCATCTTCGCAGTGGTCGACGATTTAACGCGATGAGCGATATTCCGTACATCGGTGGCCGGTCGTTATCGAATAACGCACGCAACTCCGGCCGATGCGTGCCATGCCGTGAGGTAACGATTGTCGTTATCTCGTAACGCGTGCCGACGTTTCACACGGAACGCTCGGCCTTCGACCAGAGCGAATTCAGTTGCCTCTTCCAACCTGGCCCCGGACTCTTTTCCGTACATACGATGGTATAAATCTAGGGGTCGATGGGCAGATTTACGCGTGGTTCGCTCGTGGGATAGAAAAATCGAGGCTTTGCCCGGTGACGGTCGATCCCCTCTCGGGGGACGGGCTCCGTTCGCGAGGAATCGATCCTGACCTTCCTCGAGACGACCTTCCCGCTGGTCCAGGCGAATTTTTCCCTCTCGGTGGGAGGGTCCGATCGAGAGCTGGAGAGCACGCGACGCGTCGAGTTCCACGAGAGGACAAATTCCCGAAGGACCGCCACGAGTTGGGACTCGATTCCTCCGTTTCGAATTTTCGCTTCTAGTTACGGGAGGGCCAGGACGAGCACGCGTTTTGCGACGTCCTAGGTGAAGGTTTTCGCGAACGACGGATTCCCCCGATCAGGGCGGCGTTCCACCGAGTGGTCGGACTCGCGTTAAAGGGCGAGCTTTTTCCGAGCCTACTCTCGATGCCATCTCCGGCGTAAGTGTGGCTCTTTTACGCGGCACCCTATCGCGGTCGCTCCCTCCGCGGTCCCCTTTGCCCTGCCCCTCGGTGCACCGGCTCTGTCGTCAAGGAGTGCCTTTTACGGCTTATTCATGCGCGTAACCTCCGAAAGACCCTTCCCCACCGGGCACGAGCCGGCTGCGAGGATCCCGAAGGATCGCTCCAGGGACTCGGTAATCTCTTCACGAGCCATCGATGGCGGCCTCTGGAGGGGTCCTTCTCCGAGCGTCCCGAGGACTCCTCGGAGGCTCCTTGCCTCCTCCGACAATCGCCAGAGTCTTCGACTTCGGCTTCCGAGGGCCAATTTCGCTCTCCCTGTCGCTTCCTCCATGCCTCGAGCCGGGACTTATTTTAAGTCGTCGAATTCCACCGCGGCCACCGATTCTCTCGGGCGTCGCGCCCTTTGACTCACTCCAGCGACCTTGTCGCCGACTCGCCTATGGCGTAATCGAACTTTGCCCGCGGCGAGCGGTGCCGCTTGCTTTTCTTTCCGCGGTATCGGGCTCCGTACCTAGCGGCGTGGTATCACCTTCGGCCTGGGCTTTATAGCTCGAGTGTCGTTAACGTGATCGATGGATACGTATGCACCTCCGGAGAGAGGCGCAGGGGTGGAGGTCGGGTGTTGCACGGTTTACCACGGGCACCCGCGTCGCCACCGAGAGCGTATTCATAGGCGCAGTCCACGCGGAAACGATCGGCTCGCTCGCCGGAAATCTCGCCATCGTGTCCCGTAATCAGGGGGAACGAGCGAAAACGGAAGCCCTCGCGACGAAGGCCGGAAGTCGTAGACGGTAACCGAGTTCTCGGCCCAAAGCGTCGCGTTCCGAGAGCCGGATTGTATACCTCCGGATTCTAGGGAGGGTCGGAGAGGGACTACCGACGTTTCTTGCGTTTCTTAGCGTTTCCTCCGAGTGTCGGAAGGGTCAAGTGCTTTCCGAGGTCCTCCGATCGGGCGCGGGCAACCGCGACGGTGCTCGCCGGAGCGAGAAGCGCCTCGGAGGATGGGAAG